CTGCACAATGAACTTGGTATGATGAAGATTTCTATTTAGTGGGGGCCATGTCTTCTGAAAACTAATCAAAAGTGCACAACCCAATCACATCAAGGAAAAATTTGACATTGAAGTAAATCCAGCTGGTTTCTTTGAATGTTTCCTAACCCAGGAAGAGTTGTGGGTTCATCACCGAGACAAAGACGGACAATCCATGCAATGGAAATACATTCCTCACCGTTTTGAAGGCGGCCAAGTTCATTTGATTTGTAGGAAAGGTGATGACCTCACTTTTGGGGGATGCAAAAAGCATTGTGGTCATTGGTGATCTTCAAAAGGGTCACACCATCAATGAAGAGTAAAATACCAACTTGTTGAGGCAATTGTGAAAGGCTATCAAGACCAAAATTCAAATAAAACAGCCAAAAGGGGTCTTTTGTTTCAACAGGACAATGCTCCAGTACACAAGTCCTTGGTTTCAATGGCTGCTGTGCATGACTGTTGCTTTGAACTTACTGATCACTCTTTCTATTCTCTATTTTTCTGATTTGGCTCCTGATTATCATCTGTTCCCCAACATGAAAAGGCACTTGGCTGAGAACCAGTATTGCAGTGATAATGACATCAGATTTGCTGCTGATGAATTTTTTTATCAATAGGATGAAAGCTGCTTCACCAACGAGATCCAAGTGTGAGGGGCAGACGGTGAGGACTATTTTGAAAATTAAACATCATTTGGTTACATTCTATGTGAGTATCTTGGTTAGCCTGTGAACTTTTCAACCAACCCTCATATAGGGTTCAGTTCAAAATTTCCTGAAGATTACCTGGATCAACAAGCACCTGATAAAAGCAGGTGGGTACAATGGCCAAAATGTGTGTGTGTGTGTGTGCGGAGGGGGGGTAATGTAAGTCTGTTCTGCACAAGGTATCCATATACCTGCACCCTGTAGAAATTACTCCAGTCTCACCACCAAAAGATTGAATTTTGACCAAATAGAGTCCTACCTTTATCCTGCAAGTTAAATGGATGCCAACAAGATTGGTAACAATTACTCATCATTTTACAGTTGAAATGACTATATGTAACTGTAAGTTCTCTTACACTTCTTGCTTGTGGAATTCTTTTTGATCCTCTTTATTTCCTGTAAACATTGATCTTCAAAAATATAAATGCAATATCAATCATTATCTACTGTCCTCTTAATTACTCTTCTATTGTTTTCACTCCTTAATAACATCTTTCTTTTTGTCATTCTTTCAGTTAGTAACCCCTTGTGGCTTTATTGCTTTGCTTGCAGTGAAATTAAAAAAAATGAACTGATGTGCATGTCACTTAAAGGACAATAGCACAAAAAATGAAATCGGTGAAGCAAGTTCAAATTCCAGCCAAGCCTGTTGTGTTTATTATTAGTATTAGTGCCCTTGGGAAAGACGGGAGGGATCTTCCTAATGTATTAAAAAAGCAGGGCAGACTGGATTCTCTAGTCTTGAGTGGCAGCCAGTTAAGAAAAAAACAAAAACAAAAAAAAGTTCCTTCCCCCTGATTTGACATTCAAATCAAACATAAATAGAGGCAATCATTGCACTGAAACTTGATCTGGCCATTCACTTCAACTGATCCTCCAGCCATTTCTATGAACCCCACCTTACCACTGGACCCTAGAAGCAATGTTAAGAGGGTGGATCTAAACCTGTGTAACCCCTTACCTTAAATAAATCCATATGCATGTACATTCCCTTGAATGAAACCACCATCATCATCTCTTATAAGAGATTGCAATAAATGTAGACATGGAATCTCATCTCTGTGCATTATTGTTTATATATTAATTTTATAGATACAAATATTTAAGTAAATACTCTGTTCAGTCCATTTCATAATATATGTATATATATTTTATAAATTGAACTAAATCCAACAATTAATTTGATATATTTATTGTTTATGTTATTTCAATAGGTACAAATATTTAAGTAAATGCTCTGTTTATAATAAACAGTATTAATACTGACCCGTCTGAATGTCTGAGAAATTTCATACAAAATATGTCCTCCAACAGGAATCAAACCAGTATCCTACACAGAGCTGTCATATAGCCTGAGATGCTATACCATTTAGCTACAGAGGAAGTGTCTGATTAGCAAGGTCGAATTACTGCTTTTAAACTAAAATTTCCCATGATTTCTCTCAAATACTCATATCCCCTTGAAGCCTATCTTTAAGTAAACAAATGTCATATATTATGAAATGGCCCAAGTCTGACAATTATTTTAATATATTTGTTTATACGTTATTTTTATAGATACAAAAATTTAAGTAATGCATATTTTCCATGAAATTTTTCAGACATTCAGGCTGGTAATGTTAATACTGTTTATTATAAACAGAACATTTACTTAAATATCTGTATCTATAAAAATAGCACAAACAAAAAATATATTTTAAATTAATTGTTGGACTTAGTCCATTTCATAATATATATATATATATATATATATATATATCTCAAATAGAAAATAAATGCTTTCATGTCCTCATTCTATGAGTGCTCCTAATATTATGTAAGCTAATACTACCTACCACATGTTCAGGTCATCGGTGACTAAAATTGCAGGGCAGAGGGTTCCTCAATGGAATCAATAGCCACCTGTCTGTGACCAAAGCAAGCCTTCAAGTTGGAGGATATCTTTTGGTTTGAGCTAGAGAGGCATAGAAATCTTGTTAGTAGTCAACTGAGAGTAAAAAAGTTCTATCTGAAATGTTCAGTTTCTTGGAGTTATGGCTGCAATGCCATATATGACCACTTAAGTTTTCTGTAAAACTCTTCATTAAATCCCAAGAGTATGTAAAACCATGTTTCTGTGAATTTATTAAACAGTTATGTTGGTTGGTTTGTTTTGTTTTATGGCATATCAACCTCAATCGGTTATTTAATGCCAACAAAATTTTTATTGCTGGTAATATGTTTTTCTTCAAAAATCTATTTCTGGAAATATTTTTCCTTCAAGAAATCTATAGCTAATAATAATTTTTCCTTCAAAAATTATTACTGGTAATAATTTTCTTTTTTTTTTTATTACAAAGTATTTCTGGTATTAAAACCTATTTTTACACAAGTTTGGGTGTTAACTATTTGCCCATAGCTGGGACCCTAACAGGTGCTACCACCCCGGGTCAGGGTGGACCTGGGAAAACCAGCAATTAAGAGTTGGTTCCACGCTCTTCAAAACCTCTTGATCAGAGGCCTTGCTGCTGGACGTAGTTTATCGTCTTAACAAGGACGGATGAAACAGTTATGGTTATTTAAATATCTGAAAACTACAAAGAGTGCAGACAGAACCTTTTTAATTTAGGTGATGCAGTGTAAACATTAACTGCATTTATCTTTATTATTTTTTTTTTTTTTTTTTTGAATACTAGATATCAAAAAATGTGAGGGCCAATAACCACTCAAGATTATTGTATAGATGTAAGAGGTTTGTTTATTTGTTTTATGGCATATCAACCTCCATGGATTATTTAATGCTGACAAGATTTTTATATGCTGGTAATATTTTTTCACCTGCCTTCACATAGGCCACACCTACATCACCCACCATCAGTTACCGGAGAGCACAGAATCCCTAATATGTACTACATGCCAAAAGAGATTCACTGTTAAACATATACTGCTTGAGTGTACAAATTTGAATCATGTGCAGAAACAATATTACCAAACAAGTAATTTGAAGAAAATCTTTATGGAAATAACATCTATGATACTAGATTTTATAAAAGCAATTGTAATGTACTCAAAAATATGAGTAGCTGAATAGTATTGCATATATGTGTGTATATTCTACCAAACTATGCTAAAATCTTTTCCAATACAGTGTCGGCATTAAATGACCCATGAGGTTGATATGCCGAAAAACAAAATAAACAAGCAACCAAATATTTTTTCAAAAATGTATTGCTGGTAATACTTTTTCCTTCAAAAAATTTATTGCTGGTATTAAAACCTATTTTTACAATTTCATAGTGTTTTGACTCCAGTTTAGGGGTTAACTATTTGCCCATAGCTGGGACCCTAACAGGTGCTACCAACCCGGGTCAGGGTGGACCGGAGAACATCAGCAATTAAGAAGTGGTTCCATGCTCCTCAATACCTCCTGATCAGAGGCCTTGCTGTTGGGCATAGTTTATCATCTTACCGAGGACGTGCATGTAGTTTATAGTCATACCCAAGACGGATGTAAGAGGGGGGAAAAAATATAAGATATGTAGGACAGATAATGGTTGACCTTTGACTTGGGTTAAGATGCAAGTGATCAGGAAAGCATTCTCTCAGGAGTCTATCTCAGAAAGTAGCAGTTCTTAATGAAAAGGATCTTAAATTAACTGAATATATCATTTGTCTTACTTTTTATGTTTTTCCTTGTGCAGTTTATATTAAATGGTACAGTAAAGGAAACATTACTTCTGATGTAAGTAATGAGTTAAGCACTAAAATTAAATAAACTAGATTTAATCAGATTAAAAAATTAAATTAAATAAACTAGATTTAATCAGATTTTGATACAAAAAACATCAATAAAGTTATAATTTTCATTGATTAGGGTTATATAAGATGTTGATATTTCAAAAGTATTTAAAAATAGCTGTCGGCTTCATGACTCTTTTGACACACCCAGTTTCACAAAGATGAGAATGATGATGATGCAATATGTCATCAATTATATACCTAATTGCTGACCATCTTTAAGACAGTTTTTTTTTCTTTTTGTTCAACTGCAACAGACACTTTACACACATTTTCACATCAAGAACCATGCTGTAATGTCACCAAAATGTCACAGATAAAAATAGCAACTATCATTTTAACAATTTTACTTACCATCTTTAAGAGCCAGTAACGCCTGCTAAACGCAAAGACAGCTAGCATCCCGTAGTAAAATCCATCCCCTTAAAAATGGGGTTGTAAATATCCTGCCTCTGGTTGATTAGAGGCATGGATTTAGATACGCACGACACTTACCTCACACTGGGACTTGACTCGATTGAGTTCAATCTGATGTTGTTGCTTAATCTCCTGCATGAGCGTTTGCAGTTGTTGCCACTCGGGGGCGCTAAGCACATCTCGAAGATTATCCAACACCTGTTGGGTAAACAACAACAATTTTAACAACATGAACACAAAATCAATATTATTAAGAATGACAAAAGTTTGGGCTCCTCATTGTAGAGCAGTGGTTAGCAAGCTGGTCTTAACATCCATTACTACAGTGATGAGTCTAATCTTGACAGGGTACCCAACACTTATAGGCAGGCTTGGTGTGTGTGTGTGTGTGTGTATATATATATATATATATATATATATATATATTCCTGGTCTCTGCTTTGTCACTGGAATAGATAACAATTTCTTACTGCTTGATATGAAAGTCCAAGGTTATATATATATATATATATATATATTAGTTATGGTGGGTAGGAACATGGGGAGGATAGATATGTAATGCTGACATTGGTAAAGATTTTATACAATCTTCCAATACCCGTTTCCTTGAAGGCTTTTTTCCTTTTTTGAAGGTTTTTATTAAATATCAATATTATTAAGTTTATTAAATATGAATTACTTTTTAATTTCATAATTTCTATATCTCTTCCTTACACATATGCATAAAGATTGTTATGAAAGCATGTTCAAACACTCACCTTCTCAGCCTTTATCTTTCCATTTTTTTTTTTTTTAAATAAGATTAACAAAATTAATCCACTTCGAGTCAATAGTACAGGCTAAGGCATAGAAGAAATCTCACACACACACACAGATATATATATATATATATATATATATATATATGAGAGGGGGGAGACTGATACTCACCATGGCCATACTATTTATAGCTTTAATATTGAGCATCCTTGCTTTGTACATATAGCAAAATTATATATATATATATATAAAATGATATGTAAATTTTTATATAACAAAAACAATTTCCACGTTGACAGATCTATCTTTTAATATATATATATATATATATATATATATATATATATATAATTTTCTTAGCCAACACATTTTATGCTCTGATGGACTTTATCAAGGCAAATGCGAGGATTTTATTTTGCAACCAATAATTATAAACAAAGATAAAAAAAAAGGATGTTTTTCAAATGGTGTCAAATTGTTTTTTTTTATGTAATTAATATTTAAATTATTTTAGTATGGTGTGTGCGTGTGTTTGTGTGTGTATTAATTCAAATGTTTTGTTTATTTTTACTGGATACCCATGTTTGAAATAGCACCCCCCCTTTTTTTAACAGTGTGTATTGCATGTACCAACATGCACACTACAGAAAATTAATCAAGAAAATGTGTTCTCTGATCATTAAGTGGCCTAAACCCAGTCAGTGGTTTCTCCTACAAAGGAGGACACAGCACAAGTTCATAGTCATCTTGAGAATACATTTTCTTTTTCTCCAATGTTATGCCTGTAGACATAATACAGAGTTTTAAAAAAAAAAAAAGAAAAAAAGAAGCCCATTTCAAACACATGTATCCCGTAAAATATTTGAAGTAATAATAATAATATATATATATATATATATATATATATATATATATATATATATATATATATGGTAAAGTCAAAGACTTATTTCCTGAGTTTCACAGAAATTAGTCCACTGTTCAAGAGCAAGATATATCTGTAAATAGATTAAATTGATTTATCTTGTTTAAAATACTTTATATAAAAAGGGGAAAACATTAATATTAATACTCTATTTCTTCATAATGGGCATTTTATTTACAAAAAACTGTTTGCTTTAAAAGCATTATGCTCTAGAAATACACTGGTCAACAGCCTCTTTTAGGTGAAAGTAATCATGAAGTGACAACTTTTATATTTGCATTAATCCTCTACATATATTTATATTACATACAAAGAAGAGGAGAAATAATCAAAACATACACATATACACACATGCATAAAAACACGCATGCATACACACACAAGAGAAAGAAAGAAAATCAACCTAACACCAACAATAAGAGCTACCAATTAAAATATAAATTAATTTAATCAAACTTGGTGCAAAAATAATGAAAAAAAAAAAAAAAAAAGAAAAAAAAAACAGTTGATTGCTGAAAACCTGAAGAATGTACTGAACAATTGCAAAAAAGGTTCATGCCTGAAACTTGAGGTGCTGAAGATAACATCAATTAGCTAAGTGACAAATTTTATTTGTATTAATCATGTTTGTGGGTGTGTATGCATGTGAGTGAGAGCCAATATCTGTGCCTTTGAAATGCACAAAACATATCACATTATTTTGCTGACATACCATATTTTATATACAAAATGCCAAGATACGTCACAATTAAAATAGTATAATTAACATGTTGGTCATCACAACTTGACAAGCACCAAAAATATTTCAAATTGTAGTAGTAAAATGACATTTATCAAAATTTTAAACATATTTCAATCATTTAAATAGATTCTTTTAAGGATACATGGCACAGTGAATAAAGGCATTGGTTAGATCTAGTGACAGGACCCAAAGTGTGAGTTCAATACCCGGTTAAGGCAGTGAGAACTTTCAGAGGGAAATTAACAGGAGATAACTGATAACTGACATCCATCAAACATGGCACGTGGAACTAGAACAGTCTACCCCAGTGAGCGAAATAAAGGGTTCAGTTCGACATTCCAACAACCTGAAGAATATGGCAACAAAGATGAGGACAATAGTCCGAATAATGTAAATAATGTACATAATACCTCATCTCAGAAATATAAACAGATTCTTTGATGTTTTTAGTTTTAATTGCTAGAAAATAGCATACAGTTAATCATAAAACAACTATAATAAATAATTTATTTTTGTGCACTTAAAACAGGTTTTAGACACTTTCTAACTTTTATTTCTGTCATCCAAAATTAACTTCATTAGAGCCATGATTGATGTCTACTAAAAGAATAATTTAAGCTGTAAATAAAAACGTCTTTCCAAAAACCAAAGAACTGCCAATGAAAAACACAATTCTACAAAAAGCGAAAGTTTAATGCTGAGATGACAGGGCTGATCTATCAGCTGAAAAGTCAAATGACAAAGAAGATGACTGAGCCAATCCATTGGCCCAATAATACAAGCCTCGAGATTAGCTGGCTGGTCTTTGTAACAACCAATCAGATTGCTTTTTGAATTTCTTGCAAATCTGGACTTTTCAGTGGCAGTTTCTATGATAATTTGCTGAGTTAGGTGATATTATATTGATTTTTTTGTGTTCTAAGTGAGGCCTTGTGAAAAAGGCTCTATTGTCTTGGCACTGAAACTCCAAATGAGTTTCTGTCTCCAAAGGGTTAATAAAAAGAAAAAAGAAAGCAGATTTTTTGGCAACCAGCCCCACACTACTCAGTTGGAAGATATGGACTGCTTCTTTTTCTACTTACAATTCCCCTACACTCTAGCTTGGTATCATATTAAGCTATATTTTCTAGCACTGACTAACAGATGTACCTGGCATTGCAGGGGGATGGGTGGTGATAAAAAGCCAATTTTAAAGAAATTCTGACCTATTTTAACTAAATTTTTTATCAAAGTGCAGAAATTTATACTACTTCGCCAAAGTTCGAAAGAGGCTGTGTGTAGACAAGATGATAATAGTGAAATCATCCATTTCTATACAGAAAATATTGGGTATTCAATGCCTGGACAGTTAATTCTACTGTTGGTTCAAATCTTTTTAAATCTTTTTCCGAAAACATTTTTTTCTATTTAAAAAAAAAAAAAAGAAAGAAGGTTCACTTATCTCTTTCTGTTATCAAAGGGAGTTTCCTTCTTAACCTTTTGTTCAAAGTAGTGTGGAATGTCAACATCTTGATTATATCATTATTTTTCCCTTCCAGTTATTTTTTAAAATCGTTTCACCCCAAGCAAGGCAATAAAACCACTAAGATGTATGGGCTTACTGAGAGTGAAAGAGAATGAGAAGACTTTAGTAGGGAGAAAGGACAATAAAAGAACAGGTTTCAGGAAGACAGAAGAAGGTGATTGGTATTGCATTCAAATTTTTGAAGATTGTAGATAGCAGGGAAGCAAGAAATCCGAAGAGTTTCACAAGAAAGAAGTGTGAAAAAAAGAAACCATTAGAAAAGACCTTACAGGTGCATCTAGCTATTTCAGCAGTAACATAGTGAGACTTAATTGCCAATCTAGTAGCACACTTAAATTCATGCAGCTGAGGCACCAATGACAAATAGTTCAGCAGAACAACTACAAGGAAAATATTTGCAGAAAAGACAGAGGGAAGCCACATCATGTCAGTGGGAAAGTGACTGAAGTCTGGATGCTAGATCAGGATTGATTACATTACAAACCGTTCTTTGAATTTTGTCAAGCATTTCAAGATATACAGCAGCAGCACCAGACCAGATATGGCAGCAATATTTAGTGCACAGATGAATGCTAGTTTATAACAAATTTAGTATTAGAGATAAGTTAAAACATAAGGTTGCACTATAGTTACTTTGGCCTAGCACTATAAGATGCTAAAATAACAAAATGCTGACACAATAGTCTCATTAGATCTAAACTTTCACATGGAATCATACATAGCGTCTCTTTTATAAATTCCCAAATATCATTTGTAGACAACCATTTTCTCAATGGTTAAAAGTGCTCCAATAAGCTACTTTTGCTTGTTCCCAAACTGCATGAATTTAAATGTGCTACTAGGTTGGCATCTCAGTCCCACCCTTTCACTGTGTGTATATATATATATATATATATATATATATATATATATATATTTTTATATATATATATACGTGTACTTATTAGAAAGCGCTCAATATCAGAAATAAACTAACATATTTAACCTTTTGGATAGATGTGAGTTTTGTGACCTGGACAAACTTTGTGATCATCAGACAAACTTTGTCTGACAATCACTAAAGCGTGAAAAAAAGGTCACAAACTCACATCTATCCAAAAAATATATATATATATATATATATATATATATAAACACGCACACACATATCTTCTAACAGTATTAATATCAGAATAAATTTGTTTTTTAGCAAGGGAGGTGGGACCAAAACAAAAAAAATTAAAAAAGAAAGAGTGATGAATAAGTAT